CCAAACACAAGGTAAGAGCCATTGTCCCTGAAGGGTGACTTGAGCATGAGAAGCTATCAAGCAGATGACCAGAGATCCCTGTCTCCACATCTGCATATGACATAACACAGATGATGACCATTTTAGCCACTCCACAGGGACGTGCCTCCTAGGCCACAAAATGCTCCATCCAGAACTACACCCTGGTATTATTATATATATATAGTATATATATATAATACCCAATATATAATTGGGTATTATGTGTCTCAGATGTGTGTGTGTATGTGTGTGTGTGTGTGTGTGTGTGTGTGTGAGAGAGAGAGAGAGAGAGAGAGGGATTGGGGAGAGAGAAATATTGATGGAATTTCTTTTTCTACATTGAGATTAAATCCACCATGATCTTTTATCTTGATTTATAGAATAAAAATCAAGGATCATTCACATACAGATGAATTTGGAACAAATGCGAAATTCTAACTGAATTATTTGTCCACATTCTGAGACTATATTTCCAAGAAAATGACACAAGAGGAAACAAATAATTTGCATAATACTGCAAATAATAGCAAAAAAAAAAAAAACACCCTGGGGCAAATCTAAGTGCTCAAAGGAGAGGAGTGGCTTCTTCTAATGTGCCAGCATGATTAAATGCTTTATCACTATTAAATGATCATTGTGAAAAGTTTTTTTGATACATGGAGAGAGGAAAAAAGTAGTTTTTCTTTCCACAGGTGTGTGGAGTGGGCAATGCCCCAAAACGGCCATGGCATCTGTCCATGTGCAGTGGGCCAGCAGGCATCAGTAGGTGCTCGGTAGGAGATGTTCTCAAAGTTTACTTGTTTTTTGTTTTTTTAAATTTTTTAATGTTTTTTTTTTTTTTTTATTTCTGGGAGAGAGAGAGAGAGAGACAGAGAGAGAGAGAGAGTGTGAACAGGAGAGGGTCAGAGAGAGAGGGAGATACAGAATCAGAAGCAGGCTCCAGGCTCTAAGCTACCTGTCAGCACAGAGCCCGATGCGGGGCTCGAACCCATGAACCATGAGATCATGCCCTAAGCTGAAGTCAGATGCTTAACTGGCTGAGCCACCCAGGCGCCCCTCAAAGTTTACTTGTAAATCAACTGCCAGCAAGATCTACTTAAAAACAATTATAATCAGGATTTTCCATTAGAGTGGGTAACACACATCAAAATCTCTGATTGGCGGCACCTGGGTGGCTCAGTTTGTTAAGCGTCTGACTTCAGCTCAGGTCATGATCTCACGGTTTGTGTTCAAGCCCCTCGTCGGGCTCTGTGCTGACAGCTCAGAGCCTGGAGCCTGCTTCCGATTCTGTGTCTCCTCTTCTCTCTGCCCCTCCCCTTCTCATGCTCTGTCTCTCTGTTTCTCAATAATAAATAAATGTTAAGAAAAAATTTTTTTAAATCTCTGGGATACCATTCAAAATATACGTCTTCTATGATATTCTGCTGTAGCTCCTTCCACCAGACATGTCACAGTTGGGAACGTATGGTAAATATGAAGCGTGTCAGCAAACACACCAGGGGATTAGTTTCTGTGGCTGGTTCCCGAAAGCCCGTCTAACTCAGCTGGTAGTGGACTCAGAGACTGACAGCCCTACAGCCTGACAGGCGAAGGTGAAGGAAGGAAGACGACATTCCTTCCCTTTTTCTGGGAGACAGGCCAGCTCTATGGAGAATTTCAGAGCAGGTGGAATTTGTCCTCTGAATCTTTCCTTTCTGCACCCTTTCCGCTCCCTCCTGGGCTTTTCTCTCTGGGCTCTCAGGCTGCCCACAGCACTCAACTAGGGGACCCCATGCTCCCAGACCTACCCCCTCCTTATCGCCGACCCAAATCAAAATCCCCATTCTTTCTATGTAGTTCACTGGTTCTCAAATTTCACTGTACTTCACGAACATCTGGGAATTAAATTAAAAGAAAGCCTGGGGGCGGGTGGTGTGTGCCTGGGTGGCTCAGTTGGTTGAGCATCTGACTTCAGCTCAGGTCATGATCTCACGGTTCGGGAGTTCAAGCCCCGCACTGGTCTGGCTGTTGTCAGTGCAGAGTCTGCTTCAGATCCTCTGTCCCCTCTCTCTGCTCATGCCCCTTCCTTGCTCATGCTTTCTCTCTCCAAAATGAATACATATTTATAATAATAAGAAGAAAAAAGCCTAGGCCCCAACCTCAAATATTTTGATTCTGTCGCCTTAGAGGTACCAGGAACTGTTAGTTTAACAAGCACTGCAGGTGATTCTAATATGCACCAGGGCTGAGAACCCGGGCTAAGAGGATTCTGGCTAGATGCTAGGAGCCTTTGACTGCATTTCTTCACAGCAAGGATGTAAACAACTGATGGGTACTCACGAGCAGATGCTGATAGATTTCAGGGCAGCATTTTAACACATATGAAAAGTCTGAGCAGCAGTTTTTAGATTTGGGGAGCAGGCCAGCCCTGTTCTGGGATATGCAGTAAATGCTGCTGAACTCTTCTGATTTTTTGCACCTTCTTCCTTTTCCAGGTCTGGATTCACAGCATGTGAAAATTCTAGCTCACCCCCCGCCCCTCATGGCCCCCCAGAGCCCCGCTCCAGGCGTCCTCATGTGACTCCATGAACAGGGGTCTAAATAAGGGTAGGGGTGCTGGGAAGGAGAAAGGATCACCATCTCTCTTTCTAGATGATCATTAGAAAGTCTGCTTTATAAACTTAATTCTTTTCCCTTTAGGGGAGCTCCTTGCCGGCTAGACCCTGTGGCCTTCACAGTTAACAGTAGACCCACACAGTGTACTGTCCACCTTCTCCCGCAAATGCAGGCTCTCCAGTGGCTCAGGTGCTTGCTCCTAAAGCGTCCGCTGGGCCGAACGCTGGGCAGCATGGCCCCCGCCTTGGGGCCGCCAAGGCCTCTGCCCTCTCCTCTCCCCCCAGTGTATCCATTTGGCAGCTGATTTCTGGTTCTATTCTTAGCAGTAATGCAGACATCAAATAAGGCCAGAACACAAAAACTCAGTGTAATTCTTGCTTGGTTCCTGCCGCGTTCAGAAGCTCTGGGAAAGGACAGAGGGCAGCGGCATTGGATTTGGCACGCCCTCTCTAGTTGGGTCAGGGTATACGCCCCAGATGCAAAGCTCGCCCACGGGGGTGCAGACATCCCTCCGGGGAGGAATTCAGGCTACAACGCAAGGTTTTGTCCTCTATTTTCTGATTCAAGGTGCTACACACCTTATTATGAGAGTCTCCTTTGCAGGCTGCTTTATCAGCATTATCTTCTTTAACCGACCTTCCTTTTTAAGAAAGGGCACTGGAGGGAGGCAGAGGTAAGCCAACTGGCCCTACCAGAACCTGTGTCACCGGCTTGCAAAGCCCATGCTCAGAACCATTCACTCTCAGAACAATCTAAAAACTCATCCAACTGGGGGCCCCCGGACGGCTCAGTCGGTGAAGCGTCTTGACTGTTGATTTCAGCTCAGGTCATTATCTCATGGATGTGAGGCAAAGCCCCACGTTGGGCTCTGCGCTGAGCACAGAGCCTGCTGAGGATTCTGTGTCCCTCCCCCTCCATGTGCACGCACGCTCGTGCTATCTCTTCCTCCCCTCCACGCAAAAAAAGCTTAAAAACCCATCCATTTCACGCATACTTGTGGCCTGTGGCTTCCCAGGAGCCCCTCTTACAAACACAACAATTGTGCCTTTGGCTGGCCTCTCTCAGAAGACCTACTCTAGGGGGTTCATGCACTGGAGGTCCTCATCCAGTCAGGGATGGTCAGGGGTATGTGTCCTGACCACGGGGCGGGGAGGGGGAGGCAGTCTCGCTGCTCAGGATCACACACAGGTGAGGCTGGGAAGGAGGAACTGTTTTGTTCTGCTCTTCCACAGGTGCCTTAGAGGGGAGAAAAGCCCACTGTTGACATACCTCAATGATGAAAGAAATCACAAAACTCACAGTGAAGGAAAAAACCCTCAATTAAACAAAAAGGAAAAATATAAAGGGGGCGAGGAGGGTAGTGTGTCTGGAAATCACTCTGCACTGCCCGTCCGCAGGGCCCATGTTCCCCAGGGAAGGCTGGTCTTCAGCTTCCGTGCCTATCTGCACTGCCTGCCGGAAGGAAAGGTGCTGTGCCACACGCCAGGGGTGGCCGTGACTGTGCAAGTCCCTTCACTCACGGAGGGAGCCACACCGCCCTTGGCAGACTGCCCCCATCCCCAGGACCACAATGGATAGAGGAGACACGCTCCTGGTAAAGGGAAGACAGCAGGCCAAGGGGAAGGCCAGGCTAATGGTAATTACTGATGGATACCCGGGGGAGCACAGTAACAGAACCTCAAGAGAGAACTGAAATGGAGAAATCAGAACATGGAAAATACACAGTCTGATCTTTGGCCTAGAGTGTGGACGTCCATCCATCTCCACGACAGCCCCGGGTTTGGGGATCATCCTATCGTTTGCCAAGTCTCTACGGTTCAGACTGAGCAACACCATTTTATTGGCCAAAGATGAGTGGGAGTTTCAACATGGACCCTAGCACGTTTAATCCACCCAGGCTTGTGTTTCTGGTCTTGTTCTGTATCATAGAGTGTTTCATGGCAAGGGGGATGGTGGCAGCGAGCCTTGTAATGTCTGCAGAGATCTACTGGAGGGAGAGCCTCAAGTTACCCAGCAAAGCTGTGTTGCTTCCTTTGGAGCTCTGCCTGCCTTGGGGTGGGGGTGGGGGAGACCAAGATGGAAGGGCTCGGGTCGCAGCACACAACGCAGACGGCTGTATGTGTCACCATCTGTGAAGAACGGAGTCGAGGCCAGATTAGTTCCACTGTGAACTGTTACGAAGCTGTCTTTATAATGACAGAGATGTAAGAATTATGGGTCCCTGCAAGGCCGCAGCAACCCACCACGGCGCTGGGTGAGAGCCTTCATTGTTCCAGGCAGCTCTGGCCTGGCTTATTACAGGAGACATAATGGCTTTTGTTACACGTTCACAGGTATCAGGAAAAGACATTCTTTAGGGGCCTCGTTTTCAATGCCCTACTTACCAAGTTCATCCCTGATGTTTGCAAGTTCGATTGACAGCTCTTTTTCTTTCACAAGGGCACTTTCATTCTGAAAAAAAACAAAACGGATACCGAGAGTCCCCTAGTTTTATGCTAGATAAGCACTGTGACATGTTTAATTAATGAACCGTATTAAGCAAATATTTACAAGTCTCGCCCTGAAGGAGATAATTTTCTCATTATATAAGCATAGGAAAAAAAAATCACAAAGCCACATCCAACTCATTCATTTGTATCACATTCAAATCACAAAGCTTGAAATATAATAATAATACCCCATGGTGCTTTTCCCTCTACTGTACTGTTGTGCACGTCACTCTACAATCCCTTCTTTGCACGTCCATGTCCTCACAGTAATCAGCTGCTACGCATTATTACACAATGTTAATTATTATCACCAGTATGAGATCTTTGAGCATGAAAACATCCACGCCATCCATGCCCGTTTCTCTGATGGGCGAATGCTAATTGTACCAACTGTCCTGTTACACTTACCCTTCTGTCCATACATACATGGTCGGCCACCTAATGAGTAATGAGCGGGAAGCTTAACGTGAAACATTTTTCTTTGTAATGAGATTGACACCAAAACCTAAGGTTTCCAGGTGTTTTGTGGCGCTGCGTACATCACCAGAAGGAACCAGAGGAAAAGTCCCACGTGAGGGACTATTAAGTGCCAAGGACCCCATCTTCGTGGCCACTGAGCTGCTTTCAGATCATATATATTCTATGACATAAAACAGAGAGGTATCTGGAGATATGCTGGCTTTGTAATCTGGGCCATTGAGTCCCCAGAAATAGTGACATTTGTTATGATTTTATTGTTACTAATAATAACTAGGAAAGGTGTGCTATATAAATTCTCTTCGCATTAGAGACACCGAAAAGGTAGGCCTTCAGAGAAAGTCTCTTCATTTGGTAGAATGTGCTCCCAAAGCAAACATTTCCAAAAAGGGAATTGAAGCTAAAATTTGTACCAGATATCTAAGCATGAATATCATCAGGGGCTTGTGAATGTTCTTTCTTGGTTAACCTCTTTTGACTTTGATTTCAGCACCTCCGAAGTACCTGTTAACCTACCTCAAGAAGTCACAAAACTTGCAGTGAAGGAAAAAACCTCAATTTAAAAAAAAAAGGACAAAATAGAGGGGGGTGATAGGTAGCTGTCACACAATCTTGTGCGTAGATCTAGGTAACACGGGCGCTACTTTGGGTTGACGGGACGGATGGCCTCAGGTCATCCAAAGGGCATTTGCTACACAATGTCATAATTTCAAAATACCAAAATAAAACTATTTGCATAATAAACTGAGAGCTATTTTAGTCACAGGCATCAACAGTTATTAGCCCATGGTTCTTTTAAGAATAGTGTAGCAATAACACATCTTTGAGGGACAGTGGGCCCCCATTTTATTATGAAGCTCTCTCCTCCCATCCCAGCCCACAGCATCCTTGCCTTCCTTGAACTTGAAGTTCGAAATCACACCTGAGAGCAGATAGTTTCCTATTCACTAAGAGATGCTGCCTGTATGCCACGCCCACTGAACAAGGTTATAATGAGGGCCAAAGAAGTTAATATATGCTAAGTACTTAGAATGGTACCTGGCACTCAGCAAACTCTTTATAAGTGTTAGTTGTTCTTAGAACTCGTTTGTTTCATTTTATTTGCAACTGACTAATATCCTACAGATATTATAGTCTTATCCATATTAAGGATCTAAATGTTTAGAAATGGCATATTCTTATGCTCTATTTTTTGTTTTTGTTTAAATACCTTCTTGGCTCTGCCCTGAATCTATTCAAAGTTCGAAGTATGAATAACAGGGGAAGCGTTCTAATCAGACAGATCACAGGGATTCTCTGCTTGTTCTAACACAGCATCATGTGGCCAGCTGACGTTCAACTTGTTACTGCAAATTAAGAAAATCTGGAATTCCAGAGTGGCTGAATTTCTGTAGGTACCCTGAAAGAATCTTTTTTTAAGAAAAAATTTCTAAAATTTTTTTAAATTTTTAAATTTTTTTTTAATTTCTGAGAGATAGAGAGAGACAGCATGAGCAGGGGAGGGCCAGAGAGAGAGGGAGACACAGAATCTGAAGGCAGGCTCCAGGCTCTGAGCTAGCTGTCGGCACAGAGCCCGATGTGGGGCTTGAACCCACGAACCGTGAGATCATGACTTGAGCTGAAGTCAGACGCTTAACTGACTGACCCCCCGCCTTTTTTAAAATTTTATTTTTAAAATATAACCTGAAAGAATCTTAAACTAGTGAAAAAAAGTAAACTTGATTCTACTATCAAGCAACACCTGGCTGGCTCAGTTGGTAGAGCATGCAACTCTTGATCTCGAGGTTGTTAAGTTCAAACTGGGTGCAGAGACACTTAAAAAAATAATATCTTTTTAAAAAAGGATTTAATTTTTAATCCTCGGTTTCTTTTTTTTTTTTAATGTTTTTTTAAAATTTATTTCTAGGAGAGAGAGAGAGAGACAGCGTGAGCAGGGGAGGGTCAGAGAGAGAGGGAGTCACAGACTGAAACAGGCTCCAGGCTCTGAGCTGGCAGTCAGCACAGAGCCCGATGCGGGGCTCGAACCCACGAACTGCGAGATCATGACCTGAGCAAAAGTCGGACGCTTAACCGACTAAGCCACCCAGGCGCCCCAATCCTCGGTTTCTAAGCACAGCCAGAGAATTGAAGCTGACTCTTGAACAACATTGGTTTGAACTGTGTGTCCACTCCCATTCGAATTGTTTTCTTTTTATAAAAAATTTTTAAAAAATTTTATTTATTTCAGAGAGAGCGACAGAGAGCCAGAGTGGAGGAGAGAGAAAGAGAATCTCAAGCAGGCTCCATGCTCGGTGCAGAGCTCAACATAGGGCTCCATCCTACAGCCCTGGGATCATGACCTGAGCTGAAATCGAAGAGTTGGACACTCAACTGACTAAGCCATCCAAGTGCCCCTCAAATATTTTTCAATAAATACGGTATAGTACTGTAAATGTATTTTCTCTTCCTTGTGATTTTTAAATAATGTCTTCTTTTCCCTACTTTATTATAAAAATACAGGGGTGCCTGGGTGGCTCTGTCAGTTAAGCGTCTGGCTTTGGCTCAGGTCATGATCTCACAGTTTGTGAGTTCGAGCCCTGCGTCGGGCTCTGTGCTGACAGCTCAGAGCCTGGAGCCTGCTTCGGATTCTGCATCTCCTTCTCTCTCTGGCCCTCCCCAACTTGTGCTCTGTCTCTGTCTCTCAAAAATAAATAAATGTAAAAAAAAAAATTTCTTTAAAAAGAATACAGTATATAATACAATATACAAACTGTGTTAATCAACTGTTCTTGGTAAGGCTTCTGGTCAACAGTGGGTTACTAGTAGTTAAGTTTTTGGGGAGTCAAAAGTTATTCATAGATTTCCTACTGTGCAGGAGTTGAGCACTCCAATTGCTGGTTCTTCAAGGGTTAACTGTACCGTACTTATCAGTCCCCAAATAGCATTATTAAAGTATTCATAGTCAGAGTGCTGTTAGCTGCAAAGACTTGGATGAGGTTAGGCAGTGAAGAACAAGAACTTAACAAAATCCAAGAAACCAATAAGAAGGCCTGGGCAGATGTTAACAGTGCCCTGCCCAGGGATCTCTCAGATCACAGTAAGTCACCCCACACTTTCCAGCCACAGGAGAATAAGACATCTGGGGAAGGAGTGGCTTGGAGTCCCAGTGAGGAGACAGTGCTGATTGTGGTAAAGATTATGGGCAACCTTTAGACCTGAATCACTTTTACGAAGAGCTAACGCTAACACCGCCAGCCGGGCCTGACCCATCATCTTTGCTTTAGGACAAACAAAAGTGACAGGATAAAAGAAAAGAACGAAGAAAAGAAAGGGAACAGATGGGAACAGAAGAGAGATGGAAGGGGAGATAGGAAGGGGATGGGTGAGACCACAGACCCTGCACTGTCTCCATTTGGAGAGGCAGTGATGGGGGAAGAATGGAGGAAGATAACCCAACTCCACCCCCAACCTTTCGCAAGCATAGCCTATAAAAGTAACTGTAGTTTCACACTACAGTCATCAGATGGATTGCCAAGGAAGGATCGGCTGTCAAACATTAGCAACAAACCTGAAGACTTCAATGTCAAGGTAAACAACTAAACTCTGGTAAGGTCTGGCTAATTACAACATTAACATCAGTGTGAACATTTCCAAACACTACGTATGTGAGGCACAGCACTAGGTAAGCCCTTTCCCTCATTTGGTCCTTCACATGCTCTCAACGGGGTCCTGGGTCCTATTTTCCTGTGTGGAGGATGAACCTTAGCTCCAGGCCAAGCAACCATCCCGTGCACGCCTGGCTGGGAAGCGGTGAAGCCAGAGTCTGCACTCCTCACCAAGCGCTAACACATTGAGATTGCCCCTCCTCCCCATCCTTATACAGACCCAGCATCAAGATCCAAATGGCACCAATCCTCAGACTGGATAGGAGCACTTATTTTCACAGCTTCTATAACTAACTTTGAGAGGGTCAGTGTCAGCTCCTCACCACTTTTTCAATAAGAAATTCCCTGGTGCATTCATGCCCCATCCCACCCCTGGGACTACCTGCATTTGTCCATGGTATGGATTTGTTGGTCAGATGACAGTACATTTCCAGTACAGCCTACCTGAGGCTGTAGCTTCTGAGAGGGTAGCTGCTGAGCTTTTCCCCATCAGCTGTCTCTAACCCCCACTAACACATTCCTCCGGAAGATGCTGGCTCAGCCCAGCTCTGCCCGCTAAGGCCAGCCTGTGTGGATTGGCGACAGCCCTTTCTTCTTAAGTGCTTGTTTTTGAAATGATACCAACTCTTCTGATTTATGAATTTTCTGCATCCATTAAGTTACTCTCTGTTTTCTGCAAGCTAAGCCAGACTGACGTCGTGCTGCCCTGCAGTGGAGTGAGTCAACAGCAGTGAGGACTGCAGGCGCTCTCTTCCTTAAGGCAAGAAGCGAACTTCAAGGAACTTTCCATTCTCTCTCCTCCCTACCTCAAAGTTACCCTTCCATCCATCATGGCTCAACA